AGTTTTTAATAAATGCAGGTTCACTGACTGACTGACAGAATGAGTTAGCATGAATGAGCTGTAATCTGTATGGTAGGAGGTAGTACCCACAATGATGAGATCACAGACCCATTGGAGTATCTGGGTATCAGTGCTGATAGTAATGATTGTTTTCTCATTTCAGAAGAACACAGAATAAATTATCAAGGGAAGAATCCAAAGACCTTTGTGGAAAAGGCAAAGATAAGAAGAGGCTAGCTTGGAAAAAAAGTCTTGTTGCAAAGGAGAATATCCAATGAAGGTGTCATTGGAAGATAAGCAGAGCAGCACCTGGGCAGACAAGGCTGAGTGAAGGTAACAGGACAGGGGAAGGCTATTTGTGCTGCAGGTGTGTCTTATTCAGGAAAAAGGGGAGTGATGAATGATGATTCACTCACCAAAAAAGAGGAAAAACTCTACAAGTAAAGAAACAATGGAGAGCACATGATGATTAATAATGAAATGAAGACCATTTGTTTTATGAAGGGAAGTGGGAAGACCCGTGGTACTACACCTGGGGCCACACGGACAGATGGCCCCAGAGGGTCCAGGAGAGCCCTGTGCTATGCAATCAACCCTCTTGAAAGGCCTCACTAGGAGGGACAGATATAAAGGCGAGATGAGGCATGGCCTTTACCCTCAAGGAGCACAGAGACTCGTAGTTAATATAATCTCCCAGTACAGAAATTATGTCATGAAGTGCTATGGGTTATAAGATCTAATTCAATCTAGTCCAGCAAATATTTTGGTGCCAGCTATGTGCCAGACACTGTGCTAGGTGCTGAGGGCACAAAGATAAAACTGAGAAGTATCACCCTTGTACAGGGTTAGAACTTGGACCCTGCTTAAAGGGGTTCAATCCTCTCATTTTACAGATGAGGAAACTGAGGCCCAGCAAAGAGAAGTGACTTATGCAAAGTCACAGAAGTAGTAAGTGGAGGAGCCAGGACTTGAATCTAGTACCTTCTCCACTGAGTCTCATTGCCACATGTGAAATAAGCATATGCAGTTCCAGAACCATGGATTGCATAGTCCTGGTAATGGAAATAAAAGGAGGGAAATAAATGAATGAAAAAGCATTTGTTAAGCGTTTACTGTGCCAGGCACTAAGCTAAGCAATAATGATACAAATACAAAGTGAGAGTTCATGAACTCAGGAGCTCACATGCAAATTGGGGAGACCGCCAAGAAGGGAGTGATACTTTGTTCAGGAAAAGGACAGGGATGTTTAGTGGTACCACAGAGGAATAATTTGACCTGGTTCCAGAACTGGAGGAGGTAGGGGTAGGAAGAAAGGTTATATGCTATTACTGCCAGCAAACTGGGAAAAGTGTGGAGAGGCTGGGAAGGAATGGGGTGAAGCCTGGTGGCTGGGCTGTCCTGAATGGCGATCCAGACAGGAGGAGGCCCCAGGCAGAAGGACCTGCTAGGGCAGGGGTCTGTTGACAGAATTCTGGGAGCTGGTAAACTTGGACAGGAAAAAAATGTACATCTTTATTTCACTCTAAGTGAAAGTTAGGATTTCCTGCAATTATTTAAAAAAAACATGATTCTGAGAAAAGAATAAGCTTTCCCATATGACATAAACCAAAGTTAAGAACCCTGCTCTAGGGCAAAGTCTCTCATGTAGAAACCCAAGTGGTTTGTGAGGCAATGGAGGACGCATCCCAGGAAAGACTCTACTGAGCTTCACTGGTCCTAATCCTCAGGAGACACCTCCAGGTCAGGATGGCGCCACCAAAGCTCCTCCATGCTCCCTGAGAGCCAACGGAAGTGCCCTGGGCTGGGGCACCCAGCACTTCAGGTCTTGGAACCCCCTCATTCTCTAGCATAGGGACGACGGTGTGGTGCCAGAGAAAGAACCTCAACTGCCTGTTATTGTCCACTAAAGCATGGCTCCTTAAGGGTGGGCACCGGTGAGAGTCTGCCTTTGTGTCTCCTGCATAATGACGTGAGTATCACCAGCGGATGTTTAAGAAGCGTTTGTTGAAATGAACTGAAGAAGGAAGGTGGAAGTGATGGAAGAGTGTTTTTATCTGTCAGTTGGGTCAGGCATGAGTTCATTTTGCATAGTTTGTTTAAATAAATCCTCTCATATAAGAAAATAAAAGAATGAAAAATCATTAGCAAAGGAATTAAGAGAAGCAGACTAGTCCTAGTTCTGTTTACAATTCGCTCTGTGAACTTAGACAAGGATGAGCAACAGATTTGAAGTCAAAAGACCTGGGTTCCAATCCTGGTTCCACCACTTACAATTGGTGTGACCTTGGGCAGCTACCCAAAGCCCTCTGAATTCTGGTTTTCTCATCTCTAAAAAGCATGGAGTGGACTGGATGATCTCCAAGTTCTTTTCTTACTCTAAATCCATGAGCCTAAGAAGCCCTAGTCCTCTGAGCCTCAGTTTCTCATCTGTAAAATGAGGTAACTGACCTAGATGACTTCCAAAGTCCCCTCCAGATCGCAAATCTGATGAGACGTGTCCAGCACCTGGATGTGAGCGAAGCTGGGGTGTTTGGCCCTGGGCAGTCTGACAATGAGGTCAGATGACTGCTCGATGGTCTGTGATACCAAACGTGGCGAAAAGACAAATGTAAAGACTAACTTGTACATGCTCGCTCGCGGCCTGAAGCAGCCAGCCTCTCTGCCCCTGAACCACCTCAACATCTAGAAACTGTGCATGAAGATTTCCAATTGTGCACTTTGGGGGAGCATTTGTGCCTGTTTAATAAACAACCCTCTCCTGCAGAGACATGCCCATCTGCTCCAGGATCCCAGAAAATGACAGCCTTGTGTCTCTATTCTCCCTCTACTTCAGAACCATCAAGCCGCCTCCCAAGGCAGCACATGTTCCGCTCTAGGGTAGAGAATCGAATCTCCATTTCAGGTGCCCGTGGTTGCACTGCCACCAGATTTTTTCCCATTAATGGTCTGTCACGGTTGTTACGTTTACTGAGATAGACACTTACTCAACAAGCAATTCTGAAAAGGCCTGCTTCTCTTCTGCTGCTGTTGCCACTGCGGAGAAGAGAGGGCCAGCCAACTCCCTCCCGGCCCTCAGTCCAATCACTTGAAGGATGTAATTAAACAGGGTAATCAGGGTAACTATTACAAACACTGTAATCAAACCTAGGTTCATCAAAGCCGGTTTATGCTGCAGATCCTGGTATAATGGAGGCATGTCTTAATCAGTTATATCTCTTAATTAAGTCTCTTAAGAAATTGAATATAACTCTATAAGGGGGGAAGTAAAATAACTCCTTCCCTTCCCCTTCTTGAAATGGAAAAGCTGTGTAAAGCACATGGGGAGGTGGTTCTTTTTTTTTTTTTTAAAGAGATTGTTTAATTTTGTCCTTGAGACAAGAGGGAAAAAGCCCTTCATTCAGGGCTGATCCTTAAGCCGGCTGCTGCACGTGCACACCTCAGCTCTGCCTCCAAGGAAATGATTGTAATTTATCAACCGAAAAACACCTTCCATGCTACAGACATCCCCAAATTAAAAATAGGGGCTTCCATCTCAAACGCTTCCCTTTGGCCAGAGCCTTTCAAGAGCTGGGGATGTATGCAAGGCAGTGGCTCTTTCAGCATGGTACCACGTCAGACAGAAGTGGAGACCAGTTCAGTATTTTTTCTATTTTTTCTCATTCAGTCACCAGTGTAAGAGACCCTACAATGTGGACATCATGGAACATGTGCTTAACTATTAAACTAAACACCACAGCCATTATAACTGAGGCCATCAAGATGAGCCCTGATCGAGAATTCCATCGGGAGGGGAAGTAGAGAATGCTGTTGACCACAAAAGGGATTATGAGGTCAACTCTAAGCTAAATTATACTTTTAAAAAACCACCCACAGAGGACAGCTTGATCTGGTTTGCTGTCTGTGGGAATAAGGAGGTAAGTTTTTTCAAACTTAGATGCTTCTGCAAAGAGAAGCAGTAGAGTGCTGTGGCTGTAGCAAGCCCATCTTAGAGCCAGCAAGACCGTGCTTCAGCTCCCTCCTTTGATTCACAGAGACTGGCTGCGGCACCCTGGCCAGTCTCAGTGCCCCAGGAAACTCCCTGAGACTATCAGTTCCAACACAATTGCATATCTACAGTGGCTGAAAGAATTTCCTCACCCAGATCTCCATAAAACAAAGAAATCACAGGTCCAGATCAAAAAATGCACATTTTACTCTAAAATATCTTGTTTGAGAGTCACTAGAATCTTCTATAAATCTTTGCCTTCTTGCTAGATACATATTTATGTCATTAGATAGGGCGAGGGGCCCAGGCCATCTCCTCTTTACTCCCCTCCCGGCTGTGCTCCTAACTATTCAGACTTCAACGTGATGTCCCCCACCTTCTCTTCATGTGTCCACTCCTCCCACTCAAAGGAAGCTCCTTGCAGGCAGGGACGGTTTTTCTTTCGCTTGTGTTTGTACCTCTAGCACTCAGCACAGCTCCTGGCACCCAGGAAGTGCTTAATCATTGCTTGTTACTTAGCTAGAAGTACATGATGACAGACACTCTCTGATTCGAGACATTTCTATTACAAACAACCTCTGTGGTTTTAAAATATTGCGGAATTTTGGGTTTGCTGAGCTGAATTTCAGAGTCCCTATGAGCCTCCGAGGCCTGCCATCGGCCCTGCTGCAACGCCCTAAAGATGACCAAACTTCTCCAGCCAATGCATAGATGTGTCGGCTGTCCCAATTAGAATGTGAGCTCCCTGGGAGCAGGGACTCTCTCACTTTCCTCTTCTATCAGCAATGCTTAGCATAGTGCTTGGCACATTTAATAAGCATTTAATAAACGCTTTTTTATTCTTTCATTTATTCCTCAGCACAAAGCCACACAGCGCTTGGTTTTGGCTAAAGTTTGAAAGAGAAGAAAAACCCAACATTGAAGCTCATGAAATGAAAAATATGTGCAAATAATTTCAACTTGAGTGATACTCCCAGGGGCTGGGGGGGGGAGGGGAGGAGGGCAGGATTCTTACCAGCTGAATAAGCAAGCTAATTAGGTCTGTCAGAGGTTTATTAACAAGCAAAAGGTCTTCAGCAGCCTGAGTGTCCCCTCCTGCACCATTCTTCTGGGCCTTTAATGGGAGAGAGAAAAAGAAACAGTCACCTTGTTGCATACTCAGCTTTTAGACACAAGTCCGGTCTGTTGGGTAGTACAAATCTGAATGGGAACAACAAATTCAAAAGGATGATATTCATTCTTAGGAGCAAGTAAGCAGAAGTTACAGGGGGAATGTTTTCATCCGCTGTACCCATGAGAATGAGCAAAAGGAAATTTAAGTGTTTTCATCTAAACATAACGCACACCGAATCCATACATTCTATAGAATATACCCTCTCTAAACACACAAATATGCTGGAGTAATGGGCTAAACAACAGCCAAAGCTTACTTTAAGTGTATATATTTTAAATATATACACTGTACATAATATTTTATGTGTATACATTTACACATACATATAAGCACATACATGTAGGTGCATATTTATCAATATACATGTATACATACACACATACATATATACTGCTCTCCTGATTAACTTCAAACACATACTGATTTACCTTTAGTAAGAGGGACAAACAGGAACAAGAAAATCAAAAGTAAAGGGCACGTATTTTATCTATGTTCCCATAAGAATTTTACTGTAAATACACAAAACTGGTAGGGGCTTTTCATTTCTGAACCTGAACTGAGATGGAAGAAGCATTTGCTTCCTTAGCATGGAATGTTTAGTAATTACACATTTCACTCAGATTCTCTAACCATGTTTTCATTTTCTCTCAGAGAAGATTAATTCACTTTAGGCAATGCCCGTTGTTAGAGCATGTAAGGCAGACACCAGGGAGTGCTGCCTCAGGTCAGAAGCTGGAACTAGAGGTTCCCTCTCCACAAAGCTATTGGTTCTCTGCTGCAGGCTGAACGGCAGGATTTCTAGTGTCCACTTTCCTCGATTAAAGGTACTCAATTAAGAATTAATGTTCATGGAAATAAAGTAGATGCCCATCAACTGGAAAATGGCTAAACTAATTGTGGGCCATATTTTAATATACTGTAAAAATAATTAACATAATGAATTCACAGATGCATGACTGATATGAACTGATGCAGAGTGCATCACACAGAACCAGGAAAACAAAATACATACTGACAACAATGTACAGGGAAAAAGCAACAATTGAAACTGAACACGGATGATAATGACCAAGTTTGTTCCCAGAGGAGAGCTGAGAAAACATTCTCCTGTTTTCCTTGTGGAGGAGGGGCAGCAGAGGTCCCTGACAAGAGGAATATTGTATATATTCTAAGCCATGGCTGTTGTGTTATTTCATTTTGCTGAAATGCTTTTGTTTTGTCTCTTTTTTCTTTATTCTTAGTCACAAGAGATAGATCACTGGGTAGGGGAGGGGCAAGAGCATTAATCAATGAAAGTGATGTAAAAACAAAACAAAAATGCAATAAAAAAAATAAAAGAATTAATGTTCAATCGATAAAAGAAAAATCATCTTCTAATTACATGGACTACTTTGGAATCAAATGAACTGATGATACCTATCAGCCTTGAACCTCTATATTTTCCACCAGCTTATGAGCTTATGTATGAAATGCCATTAGAAAGGTGGAGATTTCTCATAGGAAAGACTGTGCAGCACTAACCTAGAAGTCCCCACTCCACTTTCAAATCTCAGATGGTGATGATCAAATCTTTTTAAGTATGACATGCGACAGTTGGTCAATCTAGGTATTTCCTTTCTGAGGATATGTGTGTAGAAAAAAGCCTGGAGTACAAGGGTGTGCAAAGGACTCATCACTCCTTCCAAATTATTGCCCCGTTCTCTGTGAAGAACTGAAGATTGACTCTTAGAGCCAAAACTGACTGCCCGTGCATCTGCTCCAAAAAGCTTTCCATGCTGTCCAGTGATCCCAGGTATCAGGACAGCTTTGGTCACCCAGCCACTCCATGCTTTAAGAGGAGTTTGGGGGCACATGGCTGCTTGGAGGTAGGTATGCCTCAGTTGTGTTCAGAGCAAAAGTAAGTGAGGTGGGCTCACTAATCTAAGGCAAAAAGAGCACATGACAAAAGGAGGGGAAATGTTTGAGACCCACTATTTGGAAAGGCTTCTCCTAAAGACTCAGGCTCAGTCAGTGTCTCAGAATGCAGTGACCTCACCCATCCCTGCCCGGATTTGTAGCAGAGTGAGCCTTTTCAGGATCCCCTTTCTGTCTTTTTACCTACATTGCTTTTCTTTATGGGAAATGTGAATGAGAGAAGGGGAAGAAGGAAACCATCTGGGCACAAAGTTCTTGACCTAATTATCAGAGCTAGCGTATAACCTGACTGGCTCGGTTCCCTCCAAAGACATAGGAGAAAAGATCTGCAAAGTGATTTTGATTCAGGTTGTGAAATTAGTGGAACATCATGGACTCATGATACCTTGATGCTGAAGGTCATCGACTGTCCAAAGCTAGGGAGCTCTACCTGAGGCCACTGTTAAGGAAAGAACTCTGGCCCTGGAGTCCACCATGCAGATGCCACCATTTGTTTACTCGAAGAACTTGACCCAAATCACTTCTCCTTTGGGCAACTGACATTACACAGAGCCTAGATCAAAGGAGAAGCCTACCCGAGGCTGCTTCTCCTCTCCTAGCTTACCACCCCAATTATAGATACAAATCATGCCCAGCCAGCCTTAGGCTCAGGGGAAGCTTGTCCTGCATTGCTTCCATTTTCCTGGCTTCATACTTTGAGTGGTCTAAAGCCTTGTTCTGCTCTCTAATCCCTCATATCTCATTCACTGGCTCCAGTGCTACTGTTTGTATAATTTAGCTATAGTATCTATCCCTCAGCATCCTCCTTCACAGCCAAGACACGGTGACTGCAGGAAGGATTTCTTTGTTAGCTAATGCTATAATTCATTTCTCTAAAGAGGGGGGAAAAGGGAGGGAAATACTCCAAATACTAAAAAGTCCTTGACCCAGGACATAACTGAGTAACACTTCAGTTTCATTATTTCCCTAGGCCTTCTTGGACAGCCTGGCCTAAGGCCTAAGGTCTCATTCTACCAGGAATGTTCTAATCTCAAACTTGGGAGTGTATCTTCTGCCCTCTACTTTCTTGTGGTTTGATCCCAAATGATGGCTTTTCTTTCCAGAGCCTTGCTCTGGATGTGCCAACTTCTCCTGGTAATTTAGCCATCAGTAGCTTAAAAAATATGCACGTGTACCCCAGGCAACAAGTAAAATCCATCCATACTTCAATGGCCCCCAATACTCCTCCGTCTCTAAAGGGAGCATGGCTGGGGGGGGGCAGGGCATAATTAGATAGTTTATTTCTGATAATAACTGACCAACAGAAACAAGGAGATTGTGTGATATAATGAAGACAGGTCTGGACTTGGTGTTGGAAGAACTAGGTTCAAGCCCTAGTTCTATCGGGATAAACTAGGTGAGCCTGGATCAATCATTAACTCTCTTTGGCCTTGACTTTCTCCATCTATATTATAGGAATGATCTGACTCACATAACGCATCTCCTAGGGTTGTCTGAAAAGAAGCACTTCGTAAACTTTAGTTGTTATATAAATGTGAGTTATTCCTTATATATAAATGTGAGTTATTCCTTATCACTCCAAAAACTAATGGAGTCTCTTCATGCCACAGAGATCCCTAATGCTGGGCGCAGAGTTCAAGGAGGTCAAAAACAGAAAGAAAGGTCTGGTCTAATTTATAACAAATTATTCATATAGCAATGTGTGTGTATGTGCATGTGCATGTGCATCTCTGTGCGTGTATGTATGTACGTCAGCAAAGAACTAGAAACAAAATGGAGAGTCCACTGACTGGGAAATCTCTGTAATTGTGATATATTGACATAATGGAATACTACTGCTCCAAGAAATCATCAATGAGGAATTCAGAAGAACACAAGAAGATTTGTATGAACTGACATAGAATAGGGTAAAAAAAAATCATTTTTTAGCTTTGGCCCAACATTTTAACCTGTTGAGACATTTTTGGATCCTGACTCAGTTCCATCCAGTGTGTGAGCTATTTCTTCCAGCTCTGTGTCACCTGCATATTGGATAAGTGTGCCATCCAAGTTTTTATCAAAGTCACTGCTAGAAGGTTAAAAATCCACAGACCCAAACCACTAACAACCACATGAAAGGATGCTCTAAATCACTACTAATGAGGCTAATTGAGATATCACTTGTAAAGCACTTAGCTCAGTGCCTGTCATATAGTAGGTGCTATATAAATGCTTATACCTCCATCCCCCTTTCCCTAATAAGAAAAATGCAAACAAAAATGAAAACAAAAACAAAAAAACCCTGAGGCCTTGCCTCACACTCTAAACTGGCAAAGATGACAAAAGACAGGAATAGTTAATACGGGAGGCTTTGCTTCCAGAAGCAAATACAAAATGCTCTGCTTGGCATTCAAAGCCCTTTATAACCGAGGCACTTTAAAAAGAAATGTTTACCAGTTTACTGAAGGTAGGCACGCTGGTACATTTTTGGTGGAGTCTGGAATTAGTATAACCATTTTGGAAAGCAATTTGGAATTACACAAATAAAATGACTCAAATGTACATATCCACTAACCCAGAGGTTCTACTGCAGGGCTTATACCTCGAGGAGGTCAACGATCAAAAGAAAGTTTCCAGATTCATCAGGCAATTTATAGCAGGACTATAAATTGAGAACAAGTAACTGGAAACACAACAGGTGCCCATCAATTGGGGAATGGCTAAACAATTGTGGGACATGAATGTAAATAAATATTACTGTGCTATAAGAAATGTGATGAGTACAGTGAAGAAGGGAAAGATCTATACAAACTGATGCAGAGAGAAGTAATCAAAACCCCAAAAAAGCATGCACAATGACTACAACAAAACAGACAGAAAGAACATTCCCTCCCACATCATTAAAACTAGCATTTATATAGCACCTACTATGTGCCAGGCACTGTGCTAAGAGCTTTAAAAATATTATCTCATTAGATCACAAATTTCCATTTTACAGATGAGGAAACTGAGGCAAAAAAAAATCATAAGTGAATGTCACAAAATTATAAAAAGTATGGCTTGAAAGAAGAGCTATAAGAAAACATTCCTACCTCACCATTTTGCAGAGGTGGAATGTCTACAAGTGCATTACACATTGCACATGTTTTTAAGACTTTTCTGATGTATTAATCATCTGTGCTAATTTTTTTCCTTTTTTGTCTTTAAAAATATTCTTTGGGGGGACTGGGAAAGGGATACTGCAAAAAAAAAAGCTATGGGGATATAAAAAACAAAAGACACCAATAAAAATATATTTTTTAAAAAGCCACAGGCCAAGGAAAGATTGTACTAACAAGCCTCCCCCCCAACTGACACCAACCCATCAGTGATCCCCACTCTCTCATTAATCCTCAGTCTCTCCCTGTATCCTGGCTGCTTCTCTATTGACGGCAAACATGCCCATGTCATTCCTAGCCTCAAAAACCCCTCCCTTGATCCATCCAACCCTACTGGCTATCACCCTGTCTCTCTTCTCCCTTTTGTGGCTGACCTCCTGGAGAAGGCCACCCAAAACCAGAGCCTCTACTTCCTTTTTCTCTCATTCTCTCATTCTCTGCAATCTGGTTTCTCACCTAATCATTCAACTGAAACAGCTCTATGTAGTTACCAAGGATTTCCCAACTGCTGGATCTAATGGCCTTTTCTCAGTCCTTCTCCTTGGCCTCTCAGCAGCCTTCTTCACTTTGGTACCTCCTCTCCCTTGGTTTTCATGACACTGCTCTCTCCTGGTTCTCCTCCTTCCCGTCTGCTCCTTCTACGTCGACTTTGTTGGACTTCTGTCTAGGCTGTGGGTGTCCCTGCATGGGGCCCTCTTCTCTCTGCCCTCCACATTATTTCACTTGGTGGATCTCATCAGCACCATGGGTGAATCATCATTTCTCTGCAGGTGATTAGCCAGCCCTAACATCTTTCCTGATCTCTACTATCACATATGCAACTACCTCCTGAACATCTCGAAAGGGATGTCCTATAAGTCTTAAACTCAGCACGTCCAAAAGTCAACGCATTATCTTTACCTCCAAACCCTCCTCCCTCCCCTCTTCCTAACTCCTCTACTACTGTCCAGGCCATTGGACTCCTCACTCACTCTCACCTCCTCTATCCAATCTGTCACCAAATCTATCGTTTCTACCTTTGTAACATATGGCCCCTTGACTTCCATGACACTTCCACTGGCCTGGTATCAATTACCTTATCACCTCATTTCGAGATGATTGTAACAGCCCTTCTGGTGGGAACCCCTGCCTTGAGTGTTTTCTCCCCTCTAGTCTACCCTACACTCAGCCATCAAATAAATCTTCTTGAGGAGCAGATCTAACCATATCACTCCCCTATTCACAAATGCTAGTGGCTCCTTATTACCACCAGGATCAAATATAAAGCCCTTCAAAACCTGGTCCCTTCCTATCTTTCCAGTCTTTTTACACCTTATTCCTCTGAGATCAGTACAGCTAGGTGGTGTAGTGGATAGAGTGCCAGGCCTGTAGTCAGGAACTCATCTTCCTGAGTTCAAATCCAGCCTCAAACACTTCCTAGCTGTGTGATCCTGGACAAGTCACTTAACCTTGTTTATCTCAGTTTCCTCATCTGTAAAATGAACTGAAGAAGGAAATGGCAAACCAGTGCCTTTACCAAGAAAACCCCAAATGGGGTCACGAAGAGTCAGATGTAACTGAAATGACAACAACACACCTCTGCGATCCAGTGACCCTGGTCTCCTTGCTGTTCCGTACACAAGACACTTCATCTCCTGATTCCGTGGATTTTCACTGACTGTCCCCCATGCCTAGAATGTTCCCCCTTCTCTCTCCATCTCCCTTCCGATCCTAGCAAAAACCCCTCCTTCCCCCTAATGACAGTGTTTTCCTTCTAAGATGGCATCTCCAAGTAACCTCATACATATTTCTTTTTGTGCATCATTGTTTGTGTGTGCTCTCCACCCAGTAGACTGTGTGCTCCTCGAGAGCAGGGACTGATTTTGGGTTTTTGCCCTTCTTTGTATACCCAATGCTTAGCACAGTGCCTGGAACATAGAAGGCACTGAAGAAATGTTTGTTGATTGACTGACTGGAAAGTTCTCCCACCAATGTAGACTGGAAACTCCTCTGTAACAGGAGCATGAGAAGGTAAGGGTCAGAGAAAGGATTTGAAAAAAATAGTAGGTGCTTAATAAATGCTTGTTGACTTGCTTTTAAAAAAAATTATTATCTTTGAGATTCACAACATGTTATAGTGAGGAACACTGAATCTGCCCAGTCAGAAGAAATGTGGGTTCAAATTCCAGCTCTGACACTTACTAGTTGTGTGACTTTGGAAAAATCACTTAACCCTGTGACTTTGGAAAAATCACTTAACTCTCTTGAGCCTCAATTTCTTTATCTGTGAAATAAGGATAAAGCCACTCACACTACTGACCTCACTGTGTTGTTTCAGTGTTGTTTCAAGGAAGGCGCTTCCTAAAGAAGCATATAAATATGCATTATGACTTTGATCACAGTTGTAAAAGAAATGTTTTGCAAAGGTAAAAAATTCTATATAAAGGTTTGGTAACGTGACTATGAAAGCTAGCTTCTGCTCCTAAGCTTCTTCTATCCTTGGAACGGATATTTTCTCAAAGCAAATGTAGGTTACATTAGAGGAAATCCTAGCTCTGGGAGTTAAAGAAAGCTGAAGAGGAAACATGGTTTTAAAAGCATTTGTAGTTCACTATTTCAGGGGAATGTGTCTTGAATGCACACTCCATCTATTTCCCCAGCCGCCATCCCTCATAACTCAGTCTTAAGTATTTATCTTGGTTTCTTTCGAGGCTGGCACCAGGTATCATGGCTGCTAATGGAGATCAAAGGCAGCTGTCAGGGATGCCAAGCAGAGTACACATATACAGTAAACATGATGAGGGGGGATTCTATAATTGAATTAAGGAGAATGAAACATGATTAATTCATTACCAAATTTTTATGAATATATAAAAAGAGGCATTATTGATGAAGGGAGTAAAAAGATATTCATGAGTGTCTTCCTAATCATTTACACAAGCAGATTTCCATCGTTTTGGGGTCCTTCAGTTTCTGATCCTTTTCATCTACAATCTACCTGACAATCTTTCATTAGAAGCATCAAAGCCATTTTTGAGAGGAACTATCTATTGTGTCACAAAGAATTTACAACCACCACAATGGGATCAGATATAAGAAATGATGTACTTTTAAGATGAGATTTTTCATTGTGCTAGTGTGACAGGTAGTGGGGGAAAAAAAGCCAACAGAAGTCTAAGTGTTCACGAGTGTCTGACAATTTTTATACAGTTTACTTAAAATTAATGTAGGGATATGTGAAAGGGGAAGTTAGGTCATTTTCATCAGCTTCTTTTTGAAGAAGAAATGACTGTCAAATATATATCAAGCATCTATGAAAGCCACCCCGCCCCCCTTAGTTAGGGGCCTTGGGTGGAGTTGCTTGTGCAAGAAAGTCACCAGGCTCAAAATGGCTATGGTAGGAACTATTTTTCTTAATGGTGACCACTGTAGACTAAATAAATATCCTAGCGATCTAGTGTTGCTAGATCTACCATCGTGAGCCTTGGAAAAGGATTTGATCAATTTGCTTTTGCTTCTGAATATAAAAACAAGAATTCTGTTGTTTGTTATTTGCTATTTCAACAGGAAATTGTAAGGAAAACTGAATTAATGTTCTAAATTCTAGATGACCAAAACACAGAAAATGCTTTTAAAAAATTAATATCACTGGGCAATTAGTGCTGTCAGTTTGAGCATGCAAGTCTAGACTAGTTAATCACTGAGGTCCCTCTGAAAAATTTGATCATATGTTGCTAATTGTCAAAGGTCACAGTTTTGATCCCCCAGATGGGCCAATCAGCTGCATTTCTGTTTCATAGCCAGATTGCCCTAATCTCTAAATCAAAATTTCATGCCTATGGTCACAAGAGGAAGCAAGTGAGAGAGTACATAGATCAATTAATGACAAACTATTGCTTCTAGCAAATCAACTCTGAGTGCACGTCCTATGTGTAGGAGGTCAATGGGGCAATATCTATGTGGGAAGAATGGGGAGGCAAATACTCTGATTCCTCCCAGAGGCTGGGGTTCCAGGCCAGTCCTGAGCTGGATCTAAGTTGGCTGTTCTGTTCCAGGGTGGGATAGTTAGGGGCTAACGGTGGGTCATCCATGGTCAAAAGGTCTCCCTACCCTTCTGCCTCTTCCACTTCCCTTAGAAATCACATAGTCAGGTTTTCTGTTCCTGATGGAGGCCACCTAATAGAATCCTATTCTTTCTTTCTCTTCAGAACCTTTTAATTAAGTACATTTTAAAATAAGATGCAAAAAGAAGAAAAAGAAAAGGAGAAAGGGGATTGGCTGATGCTCTGCCCTCGCTGATTACCTGTAGCGTCATCCGAACAATGGTAGACGTGTGGATGAGCATGCAGTGCAGAATGTCAAGCAGGGAAAACAGCAAAGCATTGGCAGTCTTGATGTTGTTTTTATTGTCCATGTCCAGGTACAAGGCTGAGGTTTCAATTAAAAGGTTGCATATGTGCTGGACCAACCCTGAGGGAAAAAATGGGAAAATTAAATAGATATAGACACATGTCATCCATGAGGAATGATGCCAGAGAAGCCGTGGAGAGAATGTCACCAGAATGCTGCATGCCTGGAATTAGAAATGGGATGGTCACCTCTTTCATTGTGGAGGAAGGAGAAAGGGCAGGGGCAGAAGCAGAAACACAAGGTATGTTCTGGGGAAAATGTGTTAAGTGGAAGGATTACAGAAGGGAAAGGTAAGAGGTAAGATCAGTAAAGTAGGGGGGAAGGCAGCTTGGAAAAGGCATGGAATTCCAGACGCCAGATTTTACTCTTTTAGTAACAACGAGGATTTTTAGGTTTGAAAGCAGAGGAATGTAGCACGGCAAAAGCAGGATTTTATAAAGATTGCTAGATGAATAGGGGGCAGGAACTAGGAGATTGGTGAGAAGGAGACCAGCCAGGAGTCTACTGAAATTGTTGTGAGCCACTGAGGACCTACAGTAGGACATTAGTATAATGGCAACAGAAATGAAAAGGAGAAGAGCATTTTGAAACAGGAATCAACAGCAGAGATGGTGATAATCAGTCACCAAATTAAGCAAAGGAAATAAGGAAAACTGCAAGATTAGTCTAAGGCTCAAACCTGAGTAAAACAGAATAATAATTATACTAATTATAGCATTGACAGAAATAGGGAAGTCAGGATAGGAAATCAATTTTAGGAGAGTGATCACCTTGGTTTTCAATATGTTGAACTGGAGGTGAAAACAGAGCATTCCAAGGGTGAAATGTCCAGTAGACTAACTGGAAATTTGGGCTGGAGTTTGGGAGGGAGGTGAGGATTGGCAGTATAGATCTAAGAGGTATCCACACAGAGGCCATCCCTGAAGCTGTGACAGAGTGAATTCTCAGAGACAGTGAGTAAACAAAGAGCAGAGGATGGAACACTGAGTCTTGGGGAGATCTACAATGAGAAGGGATGAGGAGCAGGAAAGCCTGGTGGGGCTACTTACAGTGTGACTTTTGGCAAGTTAATTACCTTCCCTAGTCCTCACTTTTTTTTAATCACCTGCAAAATGGTAATAATGATACTTGCACTCTATTTCACTGGGTTGTTGTAAGGATCAAACCACATAAGGAATATGGAGTAGTTTCTGCCAAGTGCTATATAAATGTGTGTTACTGTCATTATGATAAAGGAAAGGCACAAAGGAAGAAATATAAACCGAGCCTTTAGTACAGTCATATACTGTGCCAATTCAAAATGGAAGAGGGATTCCTTACTAATGGTGATGCCCTCCAGATGCCCCTGGTTGTGAAGGAAGCCTGAGAACACGACAGGTTCTTCTCAGTAAGATATATGACCAGTCATAAGATTGGCTTAATGATCCAAACTGGAAAAATGAAGTGGAAAAGTAGAAAAACAATGCCGACTGCCCCAAGGATGACGTGCAGTTGGATGGACAGTCTACTCTGTCTTTTAGCACCTCTTTCTTGGACAAGCACTGCAACTGGACTAGGAGCTGAGCCCGGAGGATAGCAGGAAGAAGAGAACGGGTTAGATTGCATGGGAAAATGTGTGATACTTTCAGTGATCCCCATCTGCTCTCTGACACAAAAGTGACCCAAAGGCAAAGGAGAGATGGATAGAGGGCATAAGTAGGCTATCAATGATAACCTAGAAGCCTATGAGTTGCGTGAAGATGCACCCAGAAAATGTAAGATTAGAAAAGGAGGTGGGTTGGTCATGTGACAAGAGCAAGTAACAGATGCACAGCTCAAATACTGCATTGGTAACTAACTAAAATGTTAAAAGACCTCATGAAGGGTCCCAGTAAGTACATCTGGAAGATCCTCTTCAGGGAATTTATGGGAGCATGTGATCTCTACCATTGGAAGGAATACCGACATTGATGAGATCATGGTTCCAGTGAAATGTTAAAAGATGAAAGAAAAAGAGAAGAACCCTATGGAGTCTGACAGCTTGCTAGTGATAGCTCTGTGTTAATGGAGGCCTTTAGGAGAAATGGAGGGAGAGTTTCAGGGAGTAGGGGGCAATTAACATGCTGCCGAGAGGCCAAGCAGTGAAGCCTGAGAAAAGGCCCCCAGATTTGGCAATGTGGCATTCAGAAACTCAGTGGTGGCTCTGACGAGTAAAACAGCAAGATGGTCGTAAGCTAACAGTCTTCACTTTCTGCCCATCTCCAATCTCACAAGCCTGCTAGGATTAGTCTGGTGACTGAAAAGCTCAGAGACAATGCATTATTAAGCAATGAATTAGTATTAATGAAGAAAGAAGGGAAGGAAAAGAGGGCATGGGCGAGGGAGGGGGGTGGAAGGAAGCAGAAATCATACTTTGTTAATCCAAAAAAAAATTCCAAGGATTATTTTCTTTTCCTATTTAACTAAATCACATATAATCACATACAAAAAAAGTTATTTTGAAATACTTCTGAGGGGCTCCAGGAAAAGTAAAATGTTAATGTGTACAGGCTCTTCTCAGTTCTAGGTACTGTGCCCCATTACACAGCTCTTTCTTAAAATAAGTGTAGTTACAGACCCCATGGAAAGTTAACCTTAGAGATGCCATGATTCTTAACATACTGTACACTTATGTCATTAGTGAACTGGATGAAATATAAGCAAGCTAATTGTGCAGTAGATACAGCACTCGACGTAGAATCAGGAAGATCAGAGTTCCAATCCTGCCTTAGACACTTAATAGCTGTGCGACCCTGGACAAGTCATGTAACCTTTCAACCTCAGTTTCTTCATCTGTAAAATGGGTTAATGACAGCACCTATTTCCAAGGTTTATTGTCAGAATAAAATGAGATAATGTTTGCAACGCTCTTTGCAAACGCAAAACCATGGCTATTATCATCACCATCATAACCATTAGTATTAATGTTATTATAACTGATATTGACATGGTGTGTATTTATGTAATGTCACTAGTAAGCAATACCTCTCCCACTCCCGGTTATAACTGCAGGTCTACTAGAAACCAAGTTGATGATCATTTCACCAGAATAAATTTTAGTAAACCTAGCTAAATAGTACAATAAAGGGGAGACTGTATCATTACTAACAGCCTGCAAAGCTCTACGTCACCCAAAATTTAACCACTAACACCTGTGGTCATGTCAAGTTGAATGAGTTAGTCTACATGTTTTCTGATGAAATCAACCAAAATCTGGATATGAAATCTACCAGCATTCAGAGGCCTCTCTTGGATGGATGGAGAAGGTGACAGGACAAACAAACTGAGAACGTGACTGACCACAGTCTTTCATGCACTCCGAACAACTGGTACAAGCTAGAACCTTTCCTCTATTCAAGGGTTAATAAGGAGCTAGCCACAAATTAAAAAAAAAAAAAGATTAAATGAAGAAGAGTAGACAAGTGGGCTGTGAACTTGGCATGGAATATGGTTCACATTGGCAAGTGATACAGATGTTACTAGACATAGCCATCCAGAGCAATCTGTTGGAGGGATCACCCTTAGGAAAAATAGAGCCAAAGGAGCGGAGCAGAGCGTCAGAGGCCACCTTGTTTGCCTTTGTAGTGTGAGGAAGTCTAGGACCTCGTGAATTTCTGATAGACTCTCCAAGGCCACTCTTCCTCACTCAAGCACAAAACAGGCATAAGCCAGGATACTCTCTCAGAGCTAGGGAGAAGGGCCTTTGAGCTACACCCTACAGTTGGAAGCTATCTACAATCTAACAAACAATATACATTGAAAATGCACTCCAGTGAAACTGTGGATCCTTGGAATATTGCAATAATACTCACCGAATTGTTGTAAGGGGGAGAGTACTAGGTTATACCATGATTTACTCATATTATTATCTTGATCCCGATCAGCTGGCACGCCAGACTTCTATATCAGTTATCAACAGTAGAGCTGGCATCAGTTAAGAAGCATTTATTAAGCACCTGCTGTTTGCCCGGGGCACTGCACTAAGCATGGGGGACACAAAGAAAGGACAAATCTGTCCCTGAGCTCAAGGGACTCATTTGACAACACACCAAAACCGTCCATACAAGATAATGTACCACAGTGTAAATAGGAGGCAATTTCAGAGGGAGGGCACTAGGGTAGGCTCAGCTCAGAGAAGGTAGAAAAAAGGCAGGATAGGCATAGTTAGAACTAGGAAATCCTTGGTTTTGGCAGCAAACTCTAATCCAGGGATCAAAGTGGGACCCTGTAATCACAGATTCAGAGGGATTTCTTTCCACGTTAAAAGACACACATTTTGTTTTTATATGAGGGGAATGACCAGGAGGAAAGGGCCTGATTCCGCTTCCACATGCCCAGTCACTCAGGACTGGTGAAATATATCCTCATCTAATAGGAAAGGAAGGGGATAGGATACCAGGTACCTTTGTTTTCTCACACTGAAGCCAAGGATGGAGATTTGTACAGGGTAAGAACAAAGTGCCAAATTTACTTTCTATACTTGGCAGATGAGCGCTGAGAAAACCATTCTGGATTTAAAGAAAATAAAAATGAAAATTGGAAGGAGGCTTATCTGCGGCTAAAGCTGAAACTGATCAACAAGCATTTAGTAAGAGCTTACTATGTGCCAGGCATCGTGCGGGGCATCGAGGAGATCAAGACAAAAAAGAAACAGTCTTTTCTCACGAGGAGCTTGTCTGCTATACTATCACCACAAAAATGCTGGCTGTAGCTTTTGAGCTGGGAGAAAACTCTGAGATCATCTGGTCAATGGCCCTCTTGTTATAGATGAGAAAATCAAGGCCACGAAGGATAAGTGACTTGTCTGCTCTCAGATGGGTAGTAAGCAATTAAGCACGGTTTGGACCTGGTCCTCTGACTCAAGCCTTAACTTTTCCTACTGTATTTCCTATGTATTTTCTTAAGAAGAAAAACAAAATTTGGAGCCACATGGCTCAAATATTCTTCAAAGGGGAGAAAGTATAAAGTGGTACTACTAAGAGGTTATAAAACTGCACACAGATAATTTTTTATAGTGTAGGCTTATCACAGCACCACAGAAT